GTGTATCAAATACTTATTTGCCCCACTGTAAGTGTTTTCTTTATTCTTCTTCTAGGGTACTTGTGTGAACATGTAGACAAGCATGCTATAGGCTACTGTATGTATGCTGTTACAGAATAATAGGGTAACAGTTATTTCTTTCAGAATTATTTTTCTTTCTTAAACTTTAATGTTTGACTGTATGCAGTCCTGTTGTAAATGTATTCTTTGCTATGTCCCTTATTATTATCAAGGGGGATAGTAGAACTACTAGTCTAAAATAAACAAGAAATGGTCTCATTGCCTTCTTTTTCTTTATACATTGATCAACCAAAATCTGTTGGCAAGAGCAGTCATATATATATACAGTAACAATGGGCTACTTAGACAACAGCAGTTATCGATTTTATTTAAAGAGCCTGAAATCTTAAATTTGCTTCTGTACTGACCTTCAAAACATCATATTGGTAAAATCCTGGTGCCTACTATTAACATGAAATTTACTGAATAAAAAGTAGGTAAACATGTACTGTCAACAACAGCATTCAAATGCAATTAAGCAAATGAACATGTCATGAGTCAACTGCATTTGAGATTACAACCACAGCTGCTCTTATTTTAGCCATGCATGATACTGCACACACTCACAAGAGCAATACATTTCTGTAGTCATGTGTTCAAGAGTTTTGTTTGCCACCTGAAGGTGTCTGGTTACATTCTGTTAGTCACTCTGCTGCTCTGGTAACCACGTGTGAGACATCACATTGCTGAGGCTATCCCTAGATGTTTAGGTATGAAGATTTATGGTTCTGCCAATAACTCAGCCATAGGACAAGGACATCCACCTAACATTCAAGAGCTGGTTGTGATCCAATACACGCAGTATTTGAGCAAAGAGGCAGAATCATTTCTGAGATGCTAAACATAGCCAAGATAGCTCAGGGGGTGCTGCACGTCTGCAAACAGATTCTTAAACTGGGACAAGCACAGGTGTCTTTAGTTTTTATGTGATTCACCCATGAATAATCGCATTGTCACAGGTGTTGTCTTTCAGTGCACTGTGGGCCAGTGTATCATACATCTATATTAACACCCATTATATTCACAATAGGTTTTGATCAACAGGACAAAAGCAGAGAAGACCTCTGGGCACAGGTTATCTGGTTCTCACGCACCTTGTGCAGCCATTTTTGTCAAAAAGCTATGAAAAAAAAGTGACAGTGTTGCTCTGATTGTTTGGCTTTCCACATGGCAGCAGGGTAGAACTGTGAACTGTGAAAGAGGTAGAGAAATGAGATGGAGAACTTCTGCTGTCAAAACAAGTTTCACTTATACAGCAATCAGGGAGTAAATATCATCTTAGAACTGTTAAACTGTGCTCACGTTTCATCGTGTGGAAAAGTCTTTATTCAATTTCTGCCATGTACTTAAGTTCTAAAATTCTTTGTAACAGCTGGTAAGACACAGAACAATCATGTGGAGGTAGAACAGAAACAGTTAAATTAGCACCAAGTCTTGATAGGATCATTGTGTGCCACTCAAGCTCATTTTACACTCCAGTCAGTCTTTGGCTGAGAGCATCTATTTGTCTTGAGTCTTGACACTGACACTGTGGTGTCAGATCAGAACTTTCCCTTCTTCACCTTCCAGGACTTCTTTTTGGACTTGGACTCAATGATCAGCTGAGACTGACGCTTCAGTGCCTCCCGGGAGATGATGTCAGCTTCGTCCTCTTCACTCTCATCCTCTGGGATGCAAACAATGAAAGTAAAAAAAAAAAAAGATATACTTACAATAGACTGTATGTATGAATGTGTGTGTCCTTGGTTGTCTATACTTGTGGGCACAGAAAACTGAGAATAATAGCTTTGCAGAGACCAGCATCGCTTGTGGGGACGGGAGGCCAGTCCCTACAACATAGTTTGTTGAATTTTACAAAAATGACGCAGTGTCAAGTTAAAGCAAGTGTCAGCTTTGGTTAAGGGTCTTGTTAGGTAAGTAGTGGTTAGGGTTACGGACAGGTTAAGTCTCCTGGAATTGTATGTCTATGTAGAGCGCTGGTCAGTGACAAAAACCAGTGTGTGTGCGTGTATGTGTGTGTGCAAGAGGCTCCCACTCACCGTCACTGCTAAGGTCCAGTCGTTGGTCCTCAGGGAATGTGACACGGGTGTTGTAGGCCGGCAGCTTCCCCTCAATCCTGACGGAAAACTGCTCCATGCAACACACAGACACACCGTGCAGATAGCCAACGATCAATGACTACCACCAGTAAGACAAGCATTTTAGATATTTGTCAATATCATTTTTCTATGATTAATATTATATTTACAAAAGCATTATGCAGCTAGTAGGTCTATTTCTCTTTGAGCTGGTTTGGTATAGTGACAACAATGAGATGTATTTAAAAATATAACATATATCAGATTTTGTCAGGATATAATGATAAAGCCCAGGCCTTACTACCTCTGTACCTGGTGTTTACACAGTCCACCACCCTTTATCATGATGGACATAGTCATTCAGTGTCTGACACTAAGAGTTATTAAAAAAAACAAAACCTCAAAAATAGACAATGTAATCTAATGAACAAACACTGGATAAAAATGATTTCTTGTTTGTTGTCTATATATCTTTAGGTTATCTCATGTTAACAACAGAAATGTGACTCAAAACTGATAAATAAGGTTTTGCCAGTGTCATTATTTATAGGTTTATTTTTCATTAATAGACTACTGAGTTATTTTAAGAACTATAAAAACCTAATTTGATATTTATATATGGTTTCTTAATCAAGAGGAAATCAAATTAGTGTCAGGAAAACCAACTGTGAATGAGTCATTTTGAAGCTGCACATTGGAAAGATGGGAGCTTACTTTGGAAGATTCACTCAGAAGTTGTTATTGTGCCATAGCTAAGAGATTGGGGCAGTGGTGGCCTAAAAGTTAGAGAAGGTCGCCGGTTCAATCCCTGGACAGGCAGGATTAAATCTTGGACGGTTAGGTGACAATGGGATAAACAAGTCAGGTACGCCACATGCTGCGTGCTCGCTCTAATGCGTTCGGATCAGTTGATGAGACAGAGTACAAAGCTGCGAAGTACAGACTGAGGAAAGCCATCACAGCGGCCAAGAGGCAGTACAGAGAGAAGCTGAATGGCTTCTATTCTACTGCTGACTCATCGGCCACTGTTCATCCAGGGGCCCGAAGTGGAGAGGGTGAGCAGCTTTAAATACCTGGGCGTCCACATCAGTGAGGACCTCACTTGGACACATATTACCACACAGCTGGTCAAGAAGGCCCAACGGTGGCTGTACTTCCTGAGGAGGCTGAGGAGGTTTGGCATGTCGCCTAAGATCCTCAGCAACTTCTACAGCTGCATCATTGAGAGCATCCTGACCAGCTGCATCACTGTCTGGTATGTTATCATGGCAGCACGAGAACAAGCTCTAAGTACAAGATCAATAGAGGCTGGGGTCTACCATACCAGACAGGACCCCAGGTGCTGTGCAAAGATGCCCCTAAGACAATCCAGCACATAACCTCAAAGATCCAATTCACCCCCAGCAGGGGCTGTTCGCCTCCCTACCCTCTGGCCGGAGGTTCAGAAGTGTGATGTGTAGGACCTCCAGACTGAAAAACTTTCTTTCCCTCTGCCATCAAACTCCTAAACAGCTGAGGAGTTTATTACCAGGAAATAAGTCATGTACTGATGACCTGTACTGTTTACATTCTCAGTTTGCACATGCATAATTGCACATTGACTGTTGACTGCTGCACATGCTGCTCCCATGCAGCATACATTCTCTATTATATTCTTATATATTTTTATTATATTGCTGCATTTGCTGCTTAAAGTGCCTTAGATTTTGTGTTACTTATCTACTTTATATTTCATTTGTATTTTGAGGTATTCATGTGGACGACAAAGTAAGAATTTCATTGTTCAGGTAAACACGTTTCCTAACTGTGCATATGACAAATAAACACTTTGACCTTGACCAATGCCACACCTGCCCCACCCTCATTAACACCACTATGGTGCCCTTAAGCAAGACCCTTAAGCCCCAGCTGCTCCAGTGGAGCTGCTCAGTGGCCACAGGTCAGTAGTTGCATTGAGCAGCCTTCAGGTGCCAATGTGTGTGAATGTGATCAGGGTGTTGGTGCAAAGGAGAGGCCTACCCTGCCTAGAGGCCAACCTTTTCCAGACATAATATTCTCCTTTATGGTTGAGGTGCAAGTCATTTGACCGCGACAGCCAAACAAACTAGGCTGGACTGATTTTCAGATTATCAGTGCACAGTTACGTCACTTATAAAGATTAAGCCATTAAAATGGAGCTCAGAGTAAAACTGTCAATGTCATTAGCAAATGGCCCACAGACTGTTACATGCGTCCTATGGTACAATCTGATATCCTGTGTTCTCAAACAGAAGCGGTGCTGCTGGGCGTTAATAATCAAGAACAAACACTTGAGGCAGCTCTAATGACTTTCATTCAGATAAGCTACATTATGCAAGCAAAACGACAGCATGCATGCATACATGCTCAGCCTTGCTGCGTTCACTGGCTGCACTGTGTGATGTAGGCTTAAATGAGAGCACCAGTGTGCCCCTTACTTTACTGCACTGTCCACAGGACAATCAAGCTGGAGTGCCAACACATGCACATTCTCTGTTAATGAGGACAGTGTGTACCTGTGACTCATCAAATGATTAGCCCATGCCACACACCTGTCATTAAAACTGCATACAAATCTTCTGTGTAAGTTTATGCAGAATACAGCTGCAAAATGCAAATCAGCTTTCAATATCCTATCCAGACCAAGAACCTGTATTTCCGACCACAGCAAGGCTGCCTGGGAGCTTCGCCTCACCTCCTCTTCCTCCATCTCCTTCATGATAGCAGCCAGATCCTTTTCTTGAAGCTTTTCATGCAGTAACTGTAACTTCAGCTCACATTGGGTCATCAGCTCCAGCACAAACTCATCCGAGTCTGGTGACACCTCAGCCACTGTGTCCTCACTCTGGAGAGAAATCAGAGATGTAAGCTTTGTTGTTCCCAGGACTTTTGAGAGAAATGGGATTAAAACCAATATGTCGACACAGAGAAACAGAATGTAGTCTTGGTACTTGAGATGGTATTTACCAGTCTGATGTGTTGAAGTTTGTGCGCCAGGTGCTCCACTCCAGCTCGGACAGTACTGAAAGTTTTAACAAGCCAATCTAGGTGCTCTTTAGCAGCATTGCACTTTTGCTGCTCAGCCTGCAGTTGCTGCGCACACTCTTCCAGCATCTGTTGGTCCCTATTAAACCCACAGAGAAACAGTGAGAGAGAAAATATACAGCTGCATACATGATACCTTTGTTGCAATACTACAGTCTGGTTGTCTCACTTGGAAAGTTGATCCTCTCCAGAATATTTCATATCCTGGAACTGTTGATTCGACAGCTCCTTCTGCTCCTTCAGCTGCTGCAGGACCTTTTCATTCTCTACCTTCAGCTTCTCCAGATTTTGGTGTGTCTCTTTTTGTGAAATAAAGCGCTCCACTATCTCCTACATGCACAACTCATGAAAAAAATGATTAATATGTAAACACTGAGAGTACCTACATAGCAATATCCCTGAAAAGTATAAGCTTGTTACACAGTAGATAATAAATCCTTCTCTATCCACATCCACACCTGTATGTCTGTGACTCCAGTGGCCTCCTTGATCCTTTGGAAAGCCTCCTCAAAAGTGGAGATGGCTTTCTCCTCCTCACCTGCCATCCTGGTGGTGGTGCGCAGTGCCTCACTGCTCACTTCATCTGGCTGCATGGTTGTTCTCTGGGTCTGCAGGTACTAGAGTTTTACCAGATAACAGATAGTAATGTAGACCCTTGTAGTAATGTAGACCCCATATATTAGCATGTTTAATCACAAGTGTACATGGGCAGTAAGAAGGTTAAGGTGTCCCACCATCTGTATCTCACCCTTCTATCCACTTTGTCAAACTGGGCCTTGTGCTCCTCAACCTTTCTCCTGTAGCTGACTATAATACTCTCTCTCTCTTTGCGCTCCTTGTAGAGTAGTTCCTCCTGCTGTTGTAACTCGGCCTGGCAGGAAGGAAAAAGGGAACGAATGATGAAAAGAGAGTGAAGGAAACAAGGGAAGGAAACAAACACAATAATGTAATTCAGATACAAGAATGATTTTCACTGTCGTAGGAAACTGAGTGGACAAACACTACACCTCCACCAACTATGATCTTCTGCAGTGCACTTATAAAGAAAGAAAATGACAGATCAGCACTGTTTTAGGAAAATAAATGTTGATAGCACAGTGTACTGCGATTGTATTTGCTCATGTATCTGTATTTGCAAGCTGCATGGATCAAAATTAAAAGAACGCAGGTGAATAAATACTAAAAAAGCCCTTGCAGCTGTTTAACTTGCAACTCATAGAACTTATATCAGCAGTGAAGACAGCAATGGTTAGTGCCTACTCCTTTACTAGAAACATGCATGTTAAAAAACTGGCACAGGAGGTCAGGTTGCAGGTCACCTTAGCAGCTTCTTTAGAGAGCTGGGCTTTGTTGCTCATGGCCTGCAGGTTGTGAAGCTCCTCTCTGTGTTTGAATATTTCTTCTTCCAGACTGTCCAGTTGGCCCTGGAAAGTCAGACTCTCCTCCTGAAATGGCAAGAGTGAAAACATAAAGGACAGCTAGAGCAAGAGAGGAGGCAAACTTGTGAGAAAAGTCTGTTCTTTTATTGCTGGCTAAGTGTTACATAATCTAGGAATTAAAGCCTATCTGGAAATATCTGTAGAGTGGCCATTATAAAAGAGAGGTCAAATTAAGTGCAAATACATGTCAGATGATCTTGAGATGAGAGGTACTTTAACACTGTGCATCATTTGATGTTTCTAAATCACAGAGTCCTGTATCGAAGGAACAACAAAGTGTCATAGCTTTAGAACATCAGTGAAAAGCTGCTGTCTTTACCTGAATGAAATGATAAGCAGACTGTGTACAAAACACTTACATCCCTCTCATTTGGGTGTCTGCTGATGGCTAAAGCATAGTGACAATATTTATACTTCTGTTAATTCATCATGCCTACAGTGAAAAGGGCCAGGTAAATTGTTAAATAGCCTCTACAATGGGTAGTTCAGCTGATGCCAACAAATACTAGCAACACATCCAGCAGGGTGTGAAAAGTGAAATATGTGTTTGACAAACCTGCATGTGACTTTTGAGTTTCAGATAGTTAGTCATGATGTTCTCAGCCTCCTTGCACTTAAACTGGGTCTTCTCCAGGCTGTTCTCAAGCGCTCGCAGATTCTGAAGACACACACAACACATTGTTAACAGAGCTGTGTCTGTATGTTTTGTGCGCACTTGCACAAAAAGAAACTGCATTTATCCTGTGAGGTAACTACCATGGCATCTTCGTCTTTTTTCCGAGTGCGAGCATCAGCAGACTGGGCTCCCCTGCTTCCCTCTGGTTTCACTCTCTTGTATTCCATCTTCAGGTCTTCAAGGCACCGCTGGTAGGTCTGGGTGGTGTGTTTGAGGGCATTGAGACGCTTCGTCTTGGACAGCACCCTCTGGTCTAGTGTTGTCAGGGCTGCCTGTGAAAAAAGCAGAAAAACAGAGAGTGTTAGTGAGCAAACAGGCTAAGAGGGAAATGTTGAGTTGTGCTAGTTAGAAACTAGACTGATAACTCCTGTCTGAGGATGTAGTGGATTTTAAATTTTATCACATAGCCATCAGCACAAACTAAGGTGGGGAGAGTGATATAAATGAAAACAGGGAACCAATATAAGTTTGTAGTCCATTCATTCACTGGACCTTATATAAACAGCAAAAGAACAATGCTTTTATGTCTGTTATATTAATTTATTCCCCTCTCACCTTCCCTGACATGTTGCGATAGGCATCCTTCTCTGTTCCTCTGTTTTGAAAGGCCACTTTGATGATATGTTCATCACCCTACAGAGGCAACATGTACAGTTAGAAATATTATGTCATGTTGTGTCTTTTGTAGAAATAAAAAAAACAAGCAAAGAGTTGCAAGATTAGCCTGAATTTAGTGCGAACTACACTAAACCTACAACATTAGCCTCTGCCAGTTGTTTGTACAGCCTCTTGTTCTCCTGCCTCAGCTGCAGGATGGACTCTCTGTTCTTCTTCATGATGGACTGAGAGCTCTCATAGTATGCAGTTCTGTCGCCCTCTGGTGGACACAATAAATCGTTACACACATTTTGGCCTGTCATTATATTCACCAGTAATACAGCAACAGGTACCTGTGCGACTAACTGTTGAAGTTATGGATTTACAGTGGGTTGTCACATGGTCACACGTCTTGTAAAATTAACCTAAACATGACAGCTAGATAGCAAAGCGCACGTCCTTTAGCATTAACAGAAATAAACGCTGACGACCTAGAGCAAACTTACCCAGCAGTTGGATTTTACGCTGCATCTCCGTTATCTGGTCATGCAGCGGAGGTTTAATTGAGTCGGGAGTGAAAGGCATTTTCTGCTGTAACGTATTACTTTTGCTCACAATTTGCAAAGAAAGTATTGCCTTGTTAGCTTCACCTGAATGAAGCGCTCTGGTAATTGTGGCCGTTGCCTAGTAACCAGTACACTGAAACCCAAGTGACGCTCTGGGTTTCAGATGAACCCTGTGCAGCTACTGACTTACAGTCACCGGAACAACATTAACAACGGGTGATAAATATGTTTAGTTGAAACATTTAATCGCATGGTCTTTGATTTAGAAATATGTGTGCTGCTCCTATTAAAAAAACATAAAAGATTCTATATAGACATGAAGCACATTCTGAAATATACAAGTATGATGCTTTGTAGGTTTACTAGGCCTTTATTGTCTGAAAAGATTAATATTAGATGCATAGTTCTTGTAAACTGGGCGTCCACATCAGTGAGGACCTCACCTGGACAGTAACACCACACAGCTGGTCAAGCAGTGGCTGTACTTCCTGAGGAGGCTGAGGAGGTTTGGCATGTCACCTAGGATCCTTTGCAACTTCTACAGCTGCATCACTGAGAGCATCCTGACCAGCTGCATTACCGTCTGGTATGGCAGCACTACTGCTATGGACCGCAAGCCCCTGCAGAGAGTGGTAAAGACTGTGGAGAAGATCACCAGGACTCCACTGCCCTCTCTGCAGAGCATTTACCACCGCAGGGTGCGTGGGACAGCTGCCTCCATCCTCAAGGATCCCACCCACCCCCAGCACGGACTGTTCGCCTCCCTACCCTCTGGCCGGAGGTTCAGAAGTGTGAAATGCAGGACCTCTAGACTGAAAAACTATTTTCTTGGCCTTTGCCATTAGACTCCTATACAGCTGAGGAGTTTATTACCAGGAAATACGTCATGTACTGACAACCTGTACTGTTTACAGTCTGAGTTTGCACATTCATAATTGCACATTGACTGTTGACTACTACACATGCTGCTCCCATGTAGCATACAATACATATTATATTCTTTTATATTTTTATTATATCTCTTTCATTTAAAGTGTGTTAGATTTTGTGTTACTTATTCATTTACTTTATATTTCATTTGTATTGTGTGGCATTCATGTGGACAGCAAAGAATTTCATCGTACAGGGAAACGTTTCCTAACTGTGCATATGACAAATAAACACTCTGACTTTGTAATGACTTAACCTAAAATATTTGATGCTTAGAATTCACAATTCACTTTTCTGGCATTCTTCAGAAATGATCCAAGTTAGATTCTTATTTGTCTACATTGTCTGATGAACAATACCAATAATCCATGTGTTTACCCAAATAAACCTAAGAAGCAGTGAACCTTTTCTCTTTGAACACTTGAATGGCAACATAAACTTTTATTAGTTTACAAAAAATAAAAGACAAGTTAAAACTTTTACAAACTGTTTTACATTAACTAGCAACAAGTTTTATATTGAGTGCATAGTATAAACAACAAAGAACACCAGGCTATTAAAAATAATTCATTAAAAAATAAGTCCAAGTTAAACCTCTTGTGTTATAATATAATCTCTTAAGGTTTTAAGTAACATATTTAGTTGCAGCTTAACAACTTTGCTTTGTTGAATTAATTTAAAAACTGTTAAACTGATAAAGCACAGCTTTACTCATGTATCAGCACGTATTTGCTAAAAACAGAGGATCTCATTGAAAGACATTCAATGTTTCCACAAGGTCTGGATGACAGTATACACACAAAAAAATGACAGGACCAAAATGTACAATTGAAAATAAATGTAAAATTTAAAAGAACAACCGTTTCTTGGAGCTCAGTAATACTTCTGTAATAAAAACACCCTTGTTGGGCAAGTAAGGACTGACAACGGATGTTAAAAATACCAAAGGATCAATAACATAGACATAAACAAATCCCATGAGACAACAATACACCAACATTCCATTCATACATAAGTGTAGCACAGGAAATGCCAGTTTCATCCTTTTGTCCTGCTTTTCATTTAAAAACACACATACACACGCACATGCACCCACAACACACGCAAAGCTGTGACTTAATCTACAGATTTGGACTCTGCATTGGACTTCTTTAGGAGGGACAGCAGGTTCTGTGACATGAAATACGGCCTCTCTGCTGATCCATCGTTGCGCTCTAGGTCCTCCACTGTGACATGAACAGAAGCAATTGAGGAAGACATTCTGCCAACAGCACACCGACACTGAACTGGAATTTACCCAGGCTTGTATTTACGCAGTGCCTCTCTATAACTGGTTCTGTACCTCAGCTGAGTAACAGTGAAAAGGGGTACTCCGGCAATTTAGCATTGCACTTGCAGAAGATAGTTAAAGGGTAACTTAACACCCAACTGAAAAAGTCATCTAGCTGAAATTTAAAAAGTAATCTAGCCTGTTGGGTGTGGTCAGAAGTGTGCAGTTGTTGGAGCTGTAACCACACACCACAGTGACGGCATGTACATCACCGCAGCAAGGTGAGACAATAAACAACTAGGTCAACAAGTCAATAAATCATGAGATGGTTTAAGGGACAAGGGGGAAAAACAGCATATTTCTGTTGCAACGAATTATTATTTGCTGACTTTTCTCTAATATTTGCTTTTTGTCTTGTAAAATTCTGGATACTGCGTTTTTAGGTATCTAAAAATCCTTCTGACAAGGAAAAACATCCTTTGTTTGAACTGTTCACATGGAGTTCATGACCTGTTATTAGGGAACACAAGTAGACACCATATCCTTTTGAGAAGTCACAAAACTACTACAATTAAATACAATCACCTTTAATCAAGCTTTACATCCAGTAAATATGGAGTGTCATCAGAAATGTCAGTGGAAAATCAACATACATGTTTAACAACGTGACAAACAGGAAAGAAAGGTACAAAAGCATCCGCATATTTAAGATGTTTGTTGCAAGCATTCAGAAGGCCATGTTAACACCATGCAGCACTTAGAGAGGGAGAGACAGAGAGAGACAAATAGAGCGTGGGGACATAGCAAGGCAGGTGGGTTCAGTAAACAACTGGGGTGTCCACAGAGTCTGAGAGGTCACAATGGCTGTATCATGGCGACACAATCACAGCACTTATGCCAGTCCGAAATACCAAGGCAAGTAGGTGGCAGTACAATACATGGGATCCCGTCTTGGTGAGAATCTCTACTGAAGCCAAAAAATACATACACTACTGCTTATATACACAAATTCCATAGGAAAGAAAACTATGTAATATTCATCCAGTGTATCAAATCTGACTGTAAGCTTTTGGCGTCAGCTGGTATTATTGTAAACAGTGAAAAAGATCGATAGAGACGTGTTTGTTCTGACTGTAAACTCGGTGTTTACGTGGTTGCGTAGTGCATTTGTCAAAAGGATTAAGACAACAAATATTGACAGTAATCAGGCACTCACAATGTTCTACAGATCTTCACAATATAAAAACCAACACTGTTCTAAAACCAACACAACAGAGCGTTTTTTTTCAAGCTACAAAGATGCACTGGGCTTCTGACCTGCTTCTACGTTCACATGGCGACCATGGCCCTCTCCAGCTGAACGTCACACCACTCACATAGCAAGGAGACAGCTCGGCCTATGCCGCACATTTAACAGGTCCATATCACAAAGGTGTAGTAAGTACTGTTCTGTCATTCTTTATGCTTTGTGAGGTTTACCAAGCCTCACTTTTTTGCCATTACTTTACTGTTATCTACTCCTGTGCTGCAGAGGGAGGAGTCTCATCCTTTGATTCTTCTTTTTCCATTTTCTTTTCACCTGTCTCCTCTTTCTCAGCCTCTGCAGGTGAAGGGGAAGCCGCCTCCATCTTTTCTTCTTGTTTCAACTCCTGTTTTTCTGCCAGGTCTTTCACCGCTGCTTCTTTCTGTTCAGCCTCTTCTGTCTGACTGACTTTTACTTCCTGCGTCTTCTCCTCTTTCGGCTCTTCAGCATCTGTCTTGGACTGCAGCGGCTGCTCCTCTTCGTTTTCCTGCTTGAGCACTGCCTGCTGTTTCAATTGAATTGCTCCATCTTTTTGCTGCTGCAAAAGTGTTTCCTCCTCCATTTTCACCTCGGCCGCTTGTATCACAGAATCTGCCTGCTCAACGCCGTCTCGATCTTCCTCCACCTTTTCTGTTTTGGAAAGGATCTCATGAAGCTCGGGGGACATGAAGTAAGGCCTTTCAGAGGAGCCGTCATTTCTTTCTAAGTCCTCACCTTTTGAGCATGTGCAGATGCGTTTTGCAGCATGTTTCATTGGGTTAATGGAAAATGGGGGGGGGGGTTGAAAACATGAAATAAAGGGAATGGATGAAAAATCAAAGTAAAGTGAAATTAATGGGGAAAATGAGACAAAGAGAAGAAGAATCAGAAACCTGGCAGGAAGAAGAAACCAGCAGCTCACCCTGAGGCAGATTCTTGAGTGCTTAAACACAGAAGGATGAGAGGAGACCTGGGTATCTACCAAATGTAAAGTTACTCACAGAAGCACAGGAAGAGTGTGTCCACACACATGGCGTACACGCTGAAGAAGCCATGGGCAATGAGGTAGGACCCCACTACCACAGTCTAAGTAGACAAAATCGCAAATGTCAAGACTTGTGCTGTAGCGTCAAAGCCCACAGGTGAGCTCAAACAATTACATCACACAAATATAACTGCCTCTTACCAGAATTGGCACCCAGTAGTAGTTTAAAGATGGAGCAGCCTCCTCTACTGCTTTGATTCTTCCAGAGAAAAAGAAGAAAGAGAAGATCCCTGTACAAAGAAAAGCATGTGAATTTGTGGATTTAAACTAAAAAGTCAGACACATCACATAAAATAAAAATACAACAAAACTACCTTACCAACAATGCCAACTATGAGGAGCTTCCCCAGAAACAGCAGGAAGTCAGTCACTTTGTCTAAAACAGCCACCCTGTATTGAAATGGGCACAATGCAGAATATGAAAATGAGTGCATCAAATTAAAGTAGGCTAAGAGGTGGGTGGGTTGATAGTAGTCAGATGGTAAAATACAAATTGTACTGAAATCCCACCTGATAATGTTCCTCATTAAAAGGAAAAAAGCATCTCGAGCTGAGGTACAGAAATTTTTTCCGTAGATCGCAATCTGGAGGAAAAAATAGAGAAATTCAAAAGCTGAGCGGACAAAGCCTTCTCCGCTCTCTGAAGCACCTCTTTCCAACTCACCATGATGTAGGCATTTCTGTTAATAAACTTGATACATTTCTCCAGACACCAGAAGCAGCACTTCATGCAGCTTAGCAGGAATTTTGCAAACTTGTTCTGAGCACCTGAAGGATAAGAACGAGAAAGTTACTCGCACCTTTGATAGCTGTGGGCGTCCTAGTATGAGGCATGAGAAAATGTGTGAAGTGGCTGCTAGTGCAAAGTAGGTGGGGGGAAAAAATAAATGTTAACATCAACAATAACAGCAACAAAGGACAGGATTTGCCAATGTAACACATTAAATATCAATGTGATCAGACATCTTAACCAGTATAAAGGTTTGTGAGTACAGACGGAGGATGCCGAGATGTCCAGAAGTAACTTTGAGGAGTGAAGAGGGCGAAGTCCAGAGTGAAACTTTTCAAATAAGTCATCTGTGATGAGGTGAGCCTTAAGTTGTGATGCAACAACACATTCAAGGATTTTGAATAAGAATAGAAGGCTTGAGAGAGGTCTATGACTTCTAGAGATAAGATAACACTATTTTGTGAAGTGTCCCAGATGGTTTATCATATCATATTTAGATAGCCTGTATTATTCTGACATATCGCTTTATACAGGCGTCCATCCAAAGCCAGGATTCAAAGTAAACTAGTTTAAAAACCATCAATCAAACCAACAATCAAGTGAATTTAGCAAGTTGGTTCTGCTCTGAGTTCAATTTTTCTCACCTTTCAATTTGTGATCCAGGTACTCCAGAAGGACCCTGATGACCTGAACCAAAGACAGGATCAGAGAACCAAAGGCCAGGGAGCCTGTGTGGTATCTATACAAGAGGAAACACAGGCTAACTGTGAGCATCACACACTTTTTTTCCCTGTCACACAAACAGGATCATCCACCAACTTTAACCCTAACATATGCCTCACCTGCAGATATTAACCTTCTTCCTTCAACATCCTGGCAGCTGTGTACCTCTCTTGTTGCCAAATGTAATCACCCCAAGCTGCACTAAACTGCGTAACCTACTAATTTAAGTTAGAATTTGCAATACAGAGTGCTCCATTTAGTGCAAAAATGATTTTCAATGACACACATTTTAAATTATCTGCATTTTTCAAAGAAAAAGAAATAACACATCTAAAAAACACAGGACTTAAAGCACAGAAATGCACACATTGCTCACACACAAATACATATTCAGCCTCTGACCTGAGGGCGCGTCCCAGTGAGGAGAAGATGGGGTGTGCAGGAATATCTTCAGGTTTCTTGAAGGCCCAGTAATATGAGGCAAAGGCCCCCGCCAGAGTGACCTGACCCAGGGCAGTCACAAAGTTGGCACACCAGAAGAAGAGGAAGACGTTGTAGAACTGGAACAGGATCAGGTATTTATGGTAGAGGGTCTCACCACCGTAGAAAGCAAACATGCACTCTGCATCAGGACACTGAGCTGAGGCATTGGATGTGTTGAATGTCTGGAGGAAGAGAGAAAAGATAAACAGCAGGATTGTTAAACTCATAAAGCAAACTGATAAAAACTATGATTCAATCCAGGTAGACAGTGCCATAAGCCAACTGTTTCTTCCTATAATGTGTCAAATATGTATTTGGCTTTTTTGCTAGACCTTTCTGAAACTGCAGTACCTCACACACATCCTCTATCATTAAATGTAATGCAGCAGTGACAATTAGAGACATACCTTAGGGTCACAGGTCTCTCGTGAGTACGCACACTCAGAGGTGTTAAACACTTTGTACACTTGCTCATTAGAGGTGGACAAGAAACTTTGGGTATGGCAAGGAGATTATGGCAGCAGGGGGGGGGGGAGGTTCATGAAAAGGTCACAATCAAGAGTTAGCTGCATCTATTTATATGGAAATGCACCACTTGCAACAGAGATAAAAGGAGGGAATGATTTTTTTATAACCTCCGGTCATCAGCTGAAAAGTGAAAGGATACACAGCGGTGATGGCCCAGTAGGCGATCACCACGGCCAGGAGGGCAAAGGTCAGCAGTGGGTAGAACAGAGATGACATCACGTGCCCAACAGCTCTGACAAAGAAAACAAGAGTCATGCCAAAAAGCTGAAGAATAAAGGAAAACAGCATTTCCCACACAAAGAAACAGTTCAGCATGCTGATGTCTAAGTGTACAAACTAAAGGTCACAATATCACAAAAAATATGCAACACACATTAAAGGAGTATTAACAGTTTTTTCCACATTTCGTGGGCAGCGGAACAAGCTCTTAAATACATACAACACAGACTTATCATGACCTTATACAACACACATTAAAGGAGTATTAACAGTTTTTTCCACATTTCGTGGGCAGCGGAACAAGCTCTTAAATACAACACAGACATATCATGACCTTATGCTGTTATACATTCAGCAGACAATTAGCACACAGTTACTGTATTTGCAGTTGGACCTCTGGACACCTGCAGAATGTATATCAGTCTGATTCTACCTCTGTTTGGTCTCTATCAACCCCTGAGGTAAACATCTGGCTCTTTAGCTGCCACATGCTCCACTGTTGTCACTAGCTAATTGCTAACTTTGTCTGTTTGGGGCTGAAAGGGTAGACAGCAACGGGTTGATCAAACCCATTTTGCTAAAACAAACAAATAGGATTGATGAAAGCTGATGCTGATTGCTGCAGCTTTAATGCGCGAGTGGAATAAATAGAGAAATAACTGAGCCGGACCTGCTGGCCTCTTTGATGAGAGCGATGGCGATTAGGATTCTCTTCCTGAGGAAGATGAGTAGCAAGATGATGATGAACTCTACAATAGCCAGGATGATCACTGTGAAACAGTGAATGAAGCAGATTAATAGGACAGATCCACACTGCACAGAGTCATTACACAGGATGAAAGTGTGCTTGTACATACTGAAGGCCAGCCAGGTCTGTCTGATCTGCAGGTACACCGAGAAATCCGTCTGCAGGCCTAAGTCACGGATGGTGACATCAGCGCCGGGCTCTCCCTTCAGGCTGGCAAATTCCATGTAACAGTGGACAATACCTAAAAAGTTCAAATATTCAGTGTTACTTTTTTATTTTAATAAAAGCAGGACAATCATATTGTAAAGAGAAACTGTATTATCTCCAGAGGCTGAAGACTTACCATAGCCAATGACTAGAATAACCAAAACAATCATGACCCAGACCATGACACCGGCCAAATATCGCAGCAGGACGATGAAAATCAAGCTGACAACCATGGCTATCAGCAGACCACTGCAGAGGGCGGACACATGAATTGCTTGAACGTATTAACAGTTAACAACATTTCCTGTGATCTCTCAGGTGCAGTCATGTGTACTTTCTGGTGCTTTTCACATATGAAACTTATGTTAGTGCTTAAACAGCTGCACTAGTGACTCACTTTAAAAACAGTTTGTTTTGTCATTTGCATTCTTGATGTTAACATGTTCTGTTACTGTAACTCGTAGACAGATGGCGAACTTACAGCAAAATCCAATGCCAAGACTGAGTGTAATCTTCAAAGATTCTCATGGCCACCTGGCGAGCTTCAACCACCACATTTGACTTCCTGTAACATAAGGAAATGAAACAGCCATTGTTTAAAATTAACACTAGCCATCTTTCAAATATGGAGCCCTCAAAGTGATTTTCACTGACTTTTATCATCAGACTACTTGAGCCAGTGAGGGTAATGCTAACCATCCCAGCTGAATACTGCTGTATAAACTCTTGTAACAAAATCCAAAACAGTTTAACGGCATGTTTTCGCTAAACAATGTGGCCTAGCTTTCACTACATTTGTCAGTTTTGGAGGTGTACAACCAAAAAACAAACTAAGAAAACAAAGCATTTCTACTAACTGAAAGAAGTACTGTAATGTGCATTTTTTGGAAACAAATTTCTACTAACTGAAAGAAGTACTGTATTTTTTGGAAACACATTCTGCTTTCAGTGCTGCTGTACAATATTCGTTACCTGGTAAAAACAAATGCGACAGTCGCTGAGGTAAAGTTTTAATTTGAAACTTGGTCATTTATATACATACTAATAATGGATACACTTTGTAATTCATTCTGAAGTGATTACTACAAAAAATAATGTTAACCTTTACATTAGGCTTGTCTTGTCCCACTGCAAATTAGATGATAAATGTGATTAGACCTTGTGGTGCAGCTCTGTACAGCATAATAGCAGGAGTACTCATCATCTTGACAGGCAGGGAGCACTCCCCACAGGGAATAACGTTAACAAACAACATTGACATAAAGACCCTTCAGGGTGCATACAAATGGAGCTGAACCAATGCAGGCGCAGGCTGTAACTAACACACATCAGCACTCAAAGTAAATGAGAGCATGAAGACTTTTAAATCGGTCATCAACTCGGTGACATACGATGGCAGGGTGATTTCCTAGCTTGCACCACATAGCAAGATGTGCGTGACAAGAACTACAGTAGTTCATTGACATTTACCCATTTAAACATTGGCTGAACTGATACAACTTGTATTAGAAGACTATTAGAAGTAAAAAAAATAAATAAAAGAAGACAAATGTTCTAGTTGTCAGAGAACAAGCCAATGTCTTTAACAGCTTTTTTTTTAGCCAGACCAACAGTTTAAAACCAAAGGAGAGTCAGTTGATTTATTGAGCTAATGAGCTAATCTATGATCATTTGCTGTTAACTGTCTATGGGCTTTAGGAGAATGTTTATTATTCCTAGACGGTGTACGTCAAACAGCTCTGAAACTGTGCACTGTTTAGAACTAGATTATTGCTGTTCATTTTAAGATATGCACTGGAATTCAAAGAAAAGGACTCACTTTGATGCTTCCAGCACGTCTGTGGCATTGACATTTTTGCCCTCTCCGTCATCAAACGTGGTTTCATTGCCCACCACCACCATCCCACCTTTCAGCGTCCCCAAGGCAGGAAGGCAGCGACGTGTGACTGTGGAGGGAGGACATGATCGGTGATTCTGTTACTTACAGATACAGCAGCTTGTTGTGTAGGTGAACATGAAGTGAGTACAGGAAACCAGGGACTCGCTTACAGGCTTTACTGGGCATGAGAAAGGCAGGACACAAGCCATCCCTCAGGAGCTCAGGAGGACTCTGAATAATGCAAAACATCCTTGAATATCATTTTTGAAACATTTTTATCATATTGTACATTTCACTGTAACATTTTCTTATGTATAGAATGTGAATAATCAAAATATTTACCAAGTTGGCAAAGTCCACTCCTTCCTTACAGTATTGTCTGTAGTATTCCTGGACCTCTTTGCCGCTCACCTTGGCTGTCACTAAAGTAAGACGCTTGTCTGGACAGCGTTCCACACATAACTGGACACAAACAACAACAAACAGTACAGTCCTGACAATGAATGCGATTAGACACAGGACAATAGTTGCAGTGAATATAATGTGATTAACAGATGTTAAGCTCTGACCTGTGTGGTGGGACACTGAAACTCCAGCAGCACCAGGGGACTGGCACATTTCAGGATGTTAAAGTAGAACAGAAGAGGCTTCTTCCTGTTATGCAAGACCAGTGAACCAAATCTATTGTTAGGCCAGCATCATTCTCACCTAAATTAAGTGCATCAGATTACAGTAACACATACAATATTATCATCTGAAATGGACACAAGTCTCGCTGCATGTGAAAGGCTTCCAGGGACAACTAAACTGTAGACTGGGTATTTACACCAATCAGGCATAATATGATGACCACTTGTACAGCTGCAGGAACTTCACTGCAACACTTCTGTACAATACATCACTGCAGTGATAAGCTAGGTGAATTTATGAGGGACTATGCAACAATCAACTGGGGTGCAATATTGAAATCCTGGGGGTGGAAATGCACTGTAAATAGGCTCATGTAATATCTTGTTCCTGATTTTTCTCAAGTACATTATATTATAGTATTGTTGTACTGAACTACATTATATTCAGAGGTGTTCCTAATATTCTGACCCTCTCATGTATGTCAATGGGCAGGACAAAAATATACAGACACCAAAAACTGAAACATTTTGAGCTTCATAAACACAAACGTTAAGGCAGAAGTGTTGCACTGAAGTGCATACAGATGTACAGGTGGTCATAACATTATGCCTGATCGGTGTATATTGTCCAGAGACTCACTCCAGAGGCGTTCCAGCTTGTCCACAGAACTGCCCCCTGCTGTCCGTGGGATAAATCACTTTCCTGGGGTCACCCTGAGACCAGGCTGCATGGAGAAGAATTCAGATCAGTCAGAACAAAAGTGCACATTAAATCAAATGACAGCATAAATCACTGCTTATTTCCACTGCTGGTGTTAACAATATGTAAGATCTTAAACTGTTGTCTTACACAGTTTTGTATGTAAAAATCCCTAAAGACAGATTAAATGTTATAGAAAAATTTTTTTGCACCCAGTATATTTATACTATATGTTTATGTATTGATGTCCATTTTATTTTTCTATGGTGTTCTGTATATAAACAAATCTTAGACACAACACCGTTAATAAAACGTGGTATACTGGAGAAGATATGTGTTGTCATTTTGATGGTCTTAAATAAAGAAAAATAAAAAATGTACACAATTAAAAGACCAGGGTTCTTCTAAAATGAACACTGAAGCATCTGTTGTAAAGCAAGATCAGTCTTACCGAGGATACCCACAGCAAAGTAACCCAACAAGAATATGATGAAGAGAATACAGCAGAGGATATCTGTGCAGCCCCTGAGGAGAGGAGAAGCAAAGATTGTTACTGGTGGGTAAATCCCAATTCCCGTACTTGACCGTTTCTCATTAGAGTGTGGATACCCAAACCGAGCCCGAAAGGACCTATCCAGTTTTGGATAGAAATTTAGAAATTACATTCAGGTCCGGGCTGGGTTCATACACATAAGTCAAACTTCAGGATAAAGGGCTGAAGCACTCAAATGTCTTTGTTTAATGATAAGGGGAAACATTATATACTATAAGCTTGTCAGGTCTGTGTCGGGTCCAGACACACATATACAGTATGTGGTTCTATGCATGGCCTATTCCTCGCTCCTCAATCCTCATTGACCTGGAAGTCATTCCGGGCCGCAATCTTGAAGGACGTCCTAAAGATGCACGAGATGTTCTTTGCTCCTATCCTTCATCTGAAGCATCGAATCTCCAACTACTTTCTGATAAAGGGACGTGTTGGTCCACTCTTGTATCCTCTTTCATGGCTCCTCCAGGCAGACTCCTCATTCCTCAATCCTTGCTCCTCAGAGCAGGAACAAGAGCTCTGGGACGCACCTCAAGATGGTGAACCGGAACAACTTCTGGGTCAAGCAAAGAGTGAGGAATGTTAAGGGAATTGGGACTGATCCCTCGACTCCTTATGTGGGTGGGACTAAGACACAAGAAAAAGACATAAGTGAATGAAACGCAGATGAGATACAAGGCACAGTTTACCTGTTGTGGATCGGTCCTTTGAAGCTTGGGTCAAACTTCCTGGACTCCCCTGAGGATGAAAGGAGACAACAGCCTTGCTCATGTCTTTTCCAACAGTTTGAGAAGTTTTAACTTCAGTCTTCCTCTCACAAGAAGAACCCTTGCATGAAAGCTAGTTACCTGAGCACCCACCAGTGGTTTCACAGGTGGGACTCTTTTAATTAACTGCTAGCCACTTCAAACTGCATTCAGAGGAGCCCCAACTGGAAACCTGTGAACCGTAGCTGCTGGTATAGAGTTGCTATTGACATTTCAATAAATATAGGTCGCCCATCACACAGGCCAGTTCTGCTCAGCTCTAACATTTGAATGCATAATATCACTGCTTATTGTTAATAGGAGAGAACATTGACCCAATATTATTTATACACATCAAGGATATGGCAAATTCAAGGTTACATATGTGGTAAAATCGTCAAACATTGACATGTATGTTCAAATGTCATTTATTATAGCAGACAAAACTTTTCTGAAAACAAATAGCTTACTAACTCATGTTGCTAGCTTGTACTCATAATATTCTCAGAATCACTCATTTAGAATTTTTTATAATTGATATAAACTGTATGATCGTACTGTGTTGTATCATGAAACAACCCCACACAAAGTCAATATACAATATTATTGTCCATCCCACGTTTTTGGGTCTTTTCTGTTTCTCACATGTTGTGAGAAGCCAGTACACACTCTCTGTCACCGTGTCATCAAAGTGAAACTAAAATCACATAAAAATGTAGAAGATATTCTGAGTAGTGTAAATGTCACTGTTTGATGAGGAGCAGTTGGGACAGTAAGTGTAAATGTGAAAAAATCAGCTTCCCAATAATTTACAACAACACTCTTAAGATGAATGAATGCATAAGGACGGAGACTACGCAGTGCGTTTGAGACACACGAGCACAATGTACTGTATAAAAGGATTCTGCTGCCTGACTGTCATCAATAATCCACAAAATGGCTCCCCGCCGACAGCGAGCTTTACTGCGGACATCAACCAGCCACCATGAAGACACCTTAGACACGGCAGAGAAGAAACACCGACCACACCCACGCTGTCTATGATGAGATCATCACAGACTAACACCGTGAGTCAAGGTTTTTAAACAACAGTGAGGTTCATCAGTCATTTTCAGACTTTTAAATTATTATTTTACACAAGAAATGAGCTTGGTGAAGAATTGAGCTGTGCATAGACATCCCGTCCTCTACCGACATCCTCCTCTAAGATAACTAGAAGCCAGACTCAGAGCTATAACACATCCTGTCATGTTACTGTCTAACAAGACACATGATGAAATAGCATATAGCAATAGTCCTTTAAATGCTTTACTACAGTCAGAGGTGAGCCCTGCTACTTGTTGTCAATGCCTACTGCTTCCATACACTGTTTTTGCTACTTCTCATGATAAACAAACAGGATACACAAACACCTCTACCCACACCTTACAGACAGCTGAAGGCGTCACTTTGGATTTGAAAGTATGAAACATCTGCTAGAAATACTATGTAACTTATAAGCATTACTTTAGTCAGTCTGATGCTCTAACAAACTACTCTATCATATCAACAACACATTCGGCAACAAACCTCCTGCTTATAATAGATCCAGCTGGACAGACTGTTACAGTACCTTGAGGTTCATATTTTGTCATTCCGTTGTTATTTCTCTCAGAGTTTCTGTCATGAACACTTTCATCGGTTCTTCTCAGTGTGCTGTGTATGCCAGTTGTTTCTTTGTGTCTTCTTCCTGTGTGGCGCCTGCGTCCTCAAACTTGCAACTCCTTACTTCCTTCTTTCAACGCACTCCCTCTTTTTGGTTCTTCTGTTGACTCAGGGCTTGTCAGGAGAATTGTAGCAAAGCTAGCATTGGTGGTGGAATTGAGACAGGAGCGCAAAAGCAACAAAGGCTTGTGGCATCTTGTGTGGAGCTTCTGCTGCTCAAAAAGGGTGTGTGTACACACACACACACACACACACACACACACACACACACACACACGACTAAAAAGTGTATGTTTTGCATTTCTGCCTGCAGGGAATGTTTGTTCCAGTGGAATTTCTGAAATTAAAACAGTATTTCATACTGCATATTTTTTAGCTTTCAACTCAAACCACTGAATATTCGTGTTAAGCTGTCACCATTTTTTCCTTGTTACAACTCTTCTACAATGTGCAACTGCAAGTAGAGCAGCTGCATTCTCACCTCACTGCGGTCATATGACCAAAACAAATATGTCACTCTAACAACACTTGACCTGAATAAAAAGGAAACTGTATTACAAAACGATGTTGGTACAGTATGTCATTTGCTCCTTAACTTTTATAAAATCATTGGCCTTCTCTTGATGTTTTCTCAAGTTCCTCTTTCCACTGTAAGCTGCAGGTTACAGCTTGCTACAGCACTTTAACCACATCCTCTGTCTAACAGCTTTTAAAGATGAGCTTTATATCACATTTCACCTCCTAAAGAACAAACATGCCTGGAAATGGTTGCATGCATTGTGAAGACAGTGCCTTAGTTATGATGCACTGGGCTTGACTCACACATAGGAGGCAATGGAATGAACTGTTGTACATCAGAGATGAGACCGCCCAACGTGTTCTCTGTTGGCACATGACCATGGTCTACCCACCTCCACTGCCATAAGTCCAATACTAACTAGTGCCCTCATTCACATGCCTGTTACATAGGGAGTGTCCTTGACCATACAAACTCAGCCTGGTTCATCTTAAGGAGCCCTAGTTTATTTAACCTTTATTAAACCTGATATCCTGAAATTTTAGTTAGGTGGAAACAGATGATTCGCTGTGGCGACCCCTAACGGGAACAGCCGAAAGAAGAAGAAGAAGATAATGAAATGTTAAAGTTGTTAGGAGCAGTTTAACATTTAGCATCTAACTATATTAATAATAGTTATAGGCCTACATAGCATTGGGTCAATGATTGCAATGTCAGCTACAAAAATTTACAAGTAACAGAGACTATATGCAGTTTATCAAACAGCTGATGAACACACAGAACACATACTTGCAGACTGTCGCCCACTCACAGGAGTCCCCATTTTACCTGTAAACCCAAGAGTAAAGTCCTTTTTTAAGCTCTAAACCTGTGAGTATATGTTCACACCATGCTTGTAATGCTCATACAGGCCACTGACATTTATCAATCAGAGGCAACAGCCCTGCAAGTGACCACACCCTCCCCCCTTGCATTTCTGGAACTTGATTTAGCACTGCCTAAGTGGCAACCTCTGAGGCTGAGAGATGAAGCCAATACAGAAATATTAAAACCTGCAGTTCCTTGAATGACCACTTGAGGCTGCCTTCAAAAGCGAGTCAATCCCCATAGAGGGGCAAGTTATATAAAAGAAAAGGTTTGGTCTCTGTAGCTAATTTCCCCTTCCGTGTCAACTGCACACAGGGTGAATTATATAAAAATTCACCCATTTAAACTATACTGAAGCTTAAACTTATGCATTAATTAAGGGCATGGCTGTTTTGAGTGACAGGTGTGTTAGGTAATTTCTTAGTTAGATAGATATTGATTAGAGATCTGTTGTATTAGAAAATGTTAGTGTAGCCAGGATGTCTAGCTCAGGCTGTTAAATGCTTAGTTGGCCTCAAAACCACTCTTCTGAAAACCAATGGGTGATGTCACAGAGGGTTCGTTCAGCTTTTCTATACAGCCAATGATACCACCTCCTGAGGGGTGCTGGGAGCTCAACTGCGCAGTGGGCAGAGGGCTGTGAAAACTAAAGCAGAACCCAGGACAGGGGGCACAGGTTCTGTTCCTACAGTGGACAAGGTCTGTGAGAGGCCAACTGTCTTTTACAGGAATCCCCTGACAGTCACACCTCTGCAGCTGCTCACTACAACCACAGTCTGACCTGCTCGCCACTGAGTAGCTGGGGTTAAGGGGCTTTCTGTTGCTGTTTGGTAGGACCCCCCCTCCCTGTCATCACTTTTTGTGTATGCATTTTCTGTTTCTCTTTACTAAAGAAGATAAATATCAAAAGTGATTTTTCCATCAGCCTTTCATTTATAGGGCCATCTGTGAATGTGAGGGACACAGCTCCACTAAGGCCTGTTTCATGCTGTAAAGCAATGTCCAATTGTGCTGAAAAGCATTCCAGCAGATTTGATGTTTTGCATAGGCTGCCAAATGTCTTGCCAGTGGTCTTATTTGTTTGTGTAATTGGCAAAAATTAATTTGACAGTGATTTGCTGATGTCAGCATGCTACAGTACATGTAACAACTTTAAGAACAAGCTGTTTTAATAGGTTTTAAGCTGTAGATTAATACTGTATACATGAGTGTATTAAAACTAATAACTGGATCTCTGCGCCTGCTGACAGTTGGATATTTTTCTAGGTGTGTGTGTGTGTGTGTGTGTGTGTGTGTTAAAGGAAGTGATGTCATGACTGTGTGTGTGTTAAAGGAAGTGATGTCATGACTGCTGTGATTCATTAATGGGCCCAGAGGGGTTATCAGATGAACCCTTCCCTGAATAACTTAATGGGTTAGGGACTACTGTGGTTTGTCTGCATGTGTGCGCATGCACATTATTCATGCAAAGAGACATTACATTCTCTGGTCTCCTTTGTGCTTGTTCCTGACATTTTTATCTTTCTATTTAGATAATGTAAATAAAGATGATTAACATATGAATGAACCATAGACATAGAAAAGATAGGAAGAAAGCTACTGCGTGTGCTACTGCTTTAAAAAAAAACTCTCCCTTTATAGCCGCTAATGAGGTCACTGGTCTACATGTTCTTAAAAAACAAAGAGGAAACACGTTAAAGTCTCTTGCTCAGATCACTGCTTCTCTCTGCTCCTCACACTCGCTGCTTAGATCAAACAGCAACAGTTTGTCACACTTTTCCAAAAGCAACAGCCAAAATCCAAACAACAAGTGGTCATTGTGAATCATTTAGAGGTATTGTCCTTGAGTGTGGTAATGGATCTGAGTGTTTGCCAGCTTAGTATTGACTGGAAGCCTCTTGACTGTGTCTGCAGAGTGGGAAGAGCAGACATGGCTGAACACAAGCCAGGCAGTACAAGCTGCAGCCTGCCTGTCTGCATGCACGCCGGCCTAGACTGGGAAAATGTAGTAGTACTGTAGTAAGACGGCTCACGAGTCAAACTTGGGCTAATAAAAACTACTGTTTTAAAATACCGTTGAGGTGGAATGTCTATGTATGTGTTTGTATAAACCTTTAGCTTCAGTTCAAAAGGACTGTGGTTTTAGACCTTTTAGCCTCGGTGTGGGAGGCTGAATAAAAGAGCTGTTTACATGGTAACAGCAAAGCAACAAGAAAATGCCCCACAGTGGGCTGACTGTGGCACTTAACACTGTGGATATGGGCTGATGGAAGTATTCGGTGGGTTAGGATCTCGTATTGTGAAAGAAGGGACAACACACCAGTCAGGCAGCATTAGCGTTGTCTTCCTAAATACCAGTGTAAAGATTGCGGATTGAGCAGTCTGTGGCCATCCACTCACATAATGACACTTACACGGGGTATTTAAGCATCATACAATATCACTGGTTGCAAAAAGCTGGCGACTCAGCAGTCCATTTGAACCACAACCCAAGCTAGACACAAGAAGAGCCATCAGCAATGACTCACATGTTTGGCTGATATAGAGGACACATTTTCCATTATATATGTGTGCAAATAAAAAAGAAAAATAATCACCTAACATCTATGAAGTGCATGTGTTTCTATGTTTGTGCCAGGTTCTGTGTATGCACATGTGAGAATAAAACGACCATATGTCAACCCAGAAAGCAGTAAATGGTTTATGAACCCATGGGAAAATCCAATAAACTAAATATCACTGCATCTGCACTCCTCCTCCTCCTCTGTGGCCTGTTTCTCTGTTTTCCTGCAGTACACAATAACCTGAAAATTAAGCCAGTATATTATTAGGCTCTCAAGACAGACCTGGTTTGTATGGATGGCAACCTGCTTTTCTTCATCAGCCACCTTAAGTCACACACCTACAATAAATAACTAATTTCAGATTTATTGCTTGTTTCATTTAGAGCTATTTTTGTTTTGTGATACTGGCTGGTAAATAGGGCAAAGTAGCCCAATACAACCATCCATTTATTGCGTGTTGCCTTTATTCATTGTGTACTGTCAAATGAAAAAGTAAAGAATAATTCAGTGGGAATTTTCTGAGATTAAAGACGTGATCAAAAACGAGCTGCCTGTGGAGGATGAGGATGCCTCCATATCTGCATAAGACCCAGTAGGTCCACACCCATCCATCCATTGCAGTCATTGTTTCCATTTCTTCGGAGAAACAGCAGAGATCGAGTGAGGGCAGTAACATAAAGCTCTTCTTACCGTATTTAGGGTCTGGTTTTTTATCCTCCAGCTCCATTCTCACACACTGCTCGGCTCCTTGATGCTGATCAGACCGTGAACAGGACAGTTACCATGGAAATGTCGAGTAAAAACCATCAATAACAGCGGCTGACTACTAGAGCCACACGGATCCACGGCGCAAACAGAGAGGGACCATCCCACAGCAAACTAAAGCATGGCGCATTCCAGGCTAACGGAGAGAGGACATAGCCAATGGTAGAACAGAATTTGGTGAGTGACAGTCGCTGTAGCCAATCAGAGTGCGTTTTAGCGGAACAAAACTCAAGTCTCGCTCATACCGCTAATGGTCTCACTGTCACTTCAATGGAACATGTGAGTGTTTATATATAATTCGCTGCTCATGGACAGCGGTCCTTTAAAAAGACTTGGACCGAAAATGGACCGGTTTCTTTTTCATGATCAAGATAAAACCAGAGT